CTGACTATCTTGGAATTTGACGAAAATTGACGGACAACTAGATTTCGCGAGACGAATCTACGGTGAGGTCCGTTTTCGTCATTTGAGTTTAGAAAAATTTGAGTTTTTAACTCGTACTGTAGTGACAAATTACTGTTTTGCCATTTTTTATAAAAAATTCAAATTTACCCGAGTTTTACATGTAAAGATTATAGAAATAGTTCTCTGGTACACAAAACTACACCTAGAGCATGAAACTACAAGAATTCTGACTGTATGTCAACTAATTTGATGACTTATAATTGATATAAAAGCTCAACTGGTGGTAATGGTCACTGGCAAACGGAAAATACAAAAATGACAAAAGAACAATTCTACTTCCTCACCTGTCAAATTTTGGTTGCTTCAAGTAGTGAAATAACAGATTCTTTAGAAAGGTGCCCAAATGAGAGAGACCCAATGAAGACCTTAACTACACCCAATATTTGACTTTGATTGCATATACTTTTGAATCAGACAACCTCATAAATAACACCTCACCATATGACTTATCACATCAAAATTGACCAAACACAGTACAAAGCTTCGTCTCAGAAAAGTAACTGTTCAGAAAAAAAATCCAACAAAGTAAGAATTAAAAAAAAACCTGTGTCAAAACACAAAGTTATTGAGTGATTTCTTATTCTCTGTGGACTGTGATAGAAATTAGGGAAATGGGGTTTGTGAAAGAGATGCAACAAATTACCTTGTGATGAAATCAAACTTTAGAGAGAAGATGGTGAGCTGAACTTCCGGAGAAGGGATCACATATCATGGACGTGGAAGACTGAAGACAGATGAGCCGATGAGGTCTGGTCTTGATCTGAGCTCATCGCAGCAACAAAGAGATAGAGAGAAGAAGAACAAGAAGATGGCCTGAGTGAAAATGGTGGGAGTGAGCGCCACTGATATCCCAATTCTGAGAGTTTGAGAGTTGAGGCCTTGAAGGAGATTGAGGAATTGCACATGGCTGGCTGCATTTTGTAAGAGATAATGCGACCCGCCCGGGTTTCCACAGGCTCCTTAAAACCCGTCTGGTTTCCAGGGGTCATTGGCAGTTGAATTATTTGAACTATATCCAATAACAGAACCTGCCGGGTTATGGCATCGGGTCATCGGTTTTTCAGGTTGACTTGCTGATCCGGTCCAGTTTTGATAACTACGATTGTGTTGGTAATTAGAGGCAGTTACAAATCAGGAACTCAATCACTCAATCTTCTCTCAGAGATCCTTTGTCGGTAGTTCACATTCAACTGCTGTTATACTCCTGTGGCCTTCTTTTTGGCATTTTCTACTGAATTTCTATTTGGTCTCTGACAAAAAGGATTGAGGTTGGATGAGTAGCAATTGGTAGTATAATGGTTGGAGACATTTGCACTGAGAGTTGCTATTGCACCTTCTCTGTTTCAATGCATCACTTTGTTATTGGCAATGAGTTCTTCATTTTTAATAATTCTGTCTTTTTTCTCCTTAAAAGAAAGAAAATAATGAGACATTGTATATGTTGGTTGCATGCAATGTGGATTGAATAGATGCAAATGTGGATCTTCTAACTGGATTGATCAATAGTTATACTATTTGTTGGGAATCGTTCAAGTTGCGATGGGGTTAATCTTATTTTTGATGTTATATTAATTATATATATATAAATATTACATACATGAACTATAATTTAAGATGGTTCATGCCCAAAGCGCATGTGCACCAAACCAAGTAATAGGTTTTTAAAGTCTAATTGTGTCATGTTAGTGGGATTTGAAGTGGACCCAAATCAACCAACACATCATGTTTTAATAATTTAAATGGGGTGGGTTCGGTTACCCTCTTAATAACTAGGTTAGACAATTATTTGGATTTGTCAATATAGTCGAGCACCTTTGTCTCAACATGAAGCAATCTCGACATGACATAATCCAATCACCCTTGTTTACCCCTTCGGTGGAATTGAGTGTAATTGCAAGCATCACTGTACGTTTTAAAGCATGATTCAGTTTAAATTCCCTTTGATCTCCCTGTGACACTGAATCTTCCCTATTTTGATTATGCCATATTTGATTGCAATGAATTTCGTTATTTTATTTCTCATCATATCCTCTTTTAATTGGAAAACTCGAACGTTTTCTCATGGTTATCTGATGTGCAGGTTTATCTGAAGGCAAATGCTTAAAGAGTGTTTGAGCTTAATGCGTGGCTTACAGAGAGGCCGAGCTATTTGACAAGATGAGTTGCATTCAAACAACTGCTTGCCTTCCTGCTGACAACGTCACAAGTATATGCTCTTCATGGCATGCACTTTCTATGCCATGGGATGCACGTCAATCCTTCAAGGCTTCTCTGAAAGTGAGTTCATTTGCATTACCTTACCGGAATACAACATATCCTAAGGCATCCTTGAAATTGACTGCTGCTGCATCTAGATATGATCGATGTGCACCTGTTTGTTTATTTGGTTGGAAAGGGAAGTCAGAGAATGACAATAAGGTAACTTTCTGATTGGAGTTCTTTCTTTCTGTTTATGATTTAGTTAAATACTTTAATTAGATTTTCATCTTATTTTATTGTGAATAAAAGAATGAAGAATATGTTCCAATTTCTGGATAAATGCACAGCTTTGCCTGCAAGTGATTCCCTATCATCTGATCTGCCCCAGTTGGATATTCCTTCTAGTTTAACGCCACGTGGGACAAAATTTCCTTGTTTTAAGGGACAAAATTTCCTTGTTTTAAGACTTTTTTGTGATTGTTTCCCAACCACACCAAAAAAAATGGGGCAGATTGAATGACATCTCTCCACTTCTGGCTAAATTCAGTGTCTTGCATGCGAATTGCTCCAAAAGGAAAAAAATCCCATTTTTTCAGGTTCCTTTTTGTGGTTTATTTCCCAATTCCTAGCCACAAAGAAAAGTGGGGCAGGTTGAATGGCAATGCATTTAAGACCATGCTCAGAATGGGTGGCCATTCTATTCTCTTGTACCAGAATGCAAGGCATACATATTTGATAATTTTGGTTGAACCTGAGTTGACCCATTGTAATCTGTTCTAATATATTCAACCCTGATATGACCTGCCCATTATAGTGATCATGATAGCCCATGTGGTCTGTTTTAACATGGATGTTGTGTTATATTGACATGCTAACCTTAAACTTATACATGTTACCCCATTAAAACCCGTCTTACCCATTTATATCAACAGCAGCCGGTGTTGTTTTTCTTTTAATGAGCAATAGTGAGAGAGAAGCTTGCAGACTTCCAGTTATCTGGAACTGTATTTTTGTCCATGCTAAACTTCAAATTGTTTTTAGGCTTCTCTTTGGAATGCTATGGGAAGTTTGAAGAAAGAGTCAGTCGAGCATGTATTGCCGCAGCAAATCCAAAAACAAGCATACTATGATGATGGAGGCAGTGGTAGGAATCGTCCAGGTGGTGGGTGGTTCTGGTGGTTCAAAGGATGAAGGCCGTTCTGGGAACTTGGATGAGCTGCTACAAGTGATATTGGCAACCATTGGCTTCATATTTCTCGTAATAACTCTCTCTCTCTATTTAACTCCTTTCCCCACCCCCCACAAGATAAATCAAATGTTGTGGTATTTCAATCACACACTATCACTCACTACCCATTTATATGGGTTGCTGTCAGAGTGGAGAGAATGACACATTCTATTTTTTTTTATAATTCATTTTAGATCATACTCGAACTGGATATGCACGACCAAAGGTATATTGTGTGCTTCATCATTTGAAAATAAAATAGTACTGTGGTTTGGGTCAAATTCAGTTTACCCACATTGGAGACCCATCTGTAGTCTGTAGAAATGAAATGAACATATTGATGAAACTAATGGGGATGAGTGCATGCTATATATTATTTCAGACGGGAAACTGGTATTTTAGGGATGGATGTTAGATTTATTACATTTCAATGTCATAAAGATGTAAAATGTAGAAGTCTTACAAGTCAAGTGATCATAAGCGCCAGAAAGCAATGATGGCCTTCCGGTCGTGCTCTCATTTAACTCTTTCTTAATGAATAACCTGCCTAGCCTATTGCCTTCATTTCAGTATATTTTCATCACTGAGGACATGAGTTAACTCTGTTAGCAAAAGACTACATCAAATTTCTCTTTGGAGGACAGAAGAGTTTCCGTCTAAAGCGTTCCATGGACAACTGGGGGAAGTTCTTCCAGAGGCTGACAAGGAAGCAGGAGGTTGAACCACATTGGTTGAAACTTGAAATTATCAATTCTCCTATGTGGTGGGACAGCCCAGAAAAATATAAGCAGATCCTCAGGGCTTACCTAGCATCAACGTCTTGTTAGAGTATAGTAACATCTTAATATTAGGGGTAGTTTAGTCTTTTATTTTATTTTTTGTTGTCCTAATATATACGGGTGTCTATTGTTTATCTTTAGGTTAAGGTGATTGTAGCAAACTTTTGTAGTCCCAATGACATCTTCTCTTATTTTCTTTCTCATTCTCTATTCAATAATCGTTATTTTCATAGTATCAGAGCATGATATTTGATCCTAATCACGCTATTGACATAGTAAAACAAATTAGAAGATTTTTTAATCGAAGAACAATGGGTGACACCATCACATGCATGATGATATCATCAACCAGAATTCTTGAAGACCAGCAGCAGGTTGATCGATTTTTCGTGGGCTACAATATTGTGCAATTTGTTTTTGGTTTGGAGTTCATCTAGTAGAGTTTTCGATTTTTTGAAACTTTTTTTTCGAAAAATGTGGCCGAAATTCTTGATCTGTGAATTTGGTAAGATTTCTTCGACGTTTCTGTTAATAATCTGCTCCACAAGGTGCGATTTAGGGTTATTTATGATTGATTGAAGGTTTTGAAGCATCTTGGATGGATTTGTGGAGGTTTTTTCCGAAAATCTGCTTCTAATCTCTCTTGGTTTCTATTTTTTTGGGTTTTCTGCTCTTGAATCTTCTTCTGTTTGCTGGTTTGTTGATTTTTGCATTTGCTGAGTTGTCACTTTGCTGGATTGTTTATTTGTTCCTTAGGGCTTGCTATTTGATATAGGGTTGCATTGTTTCGCACTGAATAAGCGGGAAACTTTTGTTTCCTTGCTTATTGATTGGTGGGTTTGGAACTGAGTTGGGCTGAACGGATTTATGTTGGGTTTGGCTTGGGCTTATTAATTTTGTGTTGAATTTGGGCTGCCAACAAGTATTTTTAATAGTAAATTAGCCTAGGATAGTTCCTTTGGTGTATAATTTAATTTTAGTTGTACCGAATTTTTAGTATAAACAAAGTCTAGTGATTTAAAAAAACATCATGCATTCCTGTGTTGGTGCTGTTCCAAGAAAAGAAACATATTGCGAAACTGGCCGTCGATGCTGTTACGAGGCTAAAGGTGAGTAGTTCCTTCCCATTAGTAGCCTAGGATTAGGAGTATAACTTGGGCCCGTTGGGCGGGTTGAGAGGTCAAGGTATGTAATCTTCAATCTTAATCATAACACTAATCTTACCTCAACCCGAGGTATTTAATTTGAGTACTATCCGAGTTTAATTCAGGTTGGCTCGGGTTGAATTTAGGTTATTTGATTTGAGTTGATTTCGAGTTAAAAATTAGGTTGGACTTGAATTACTTAATTCGAGTTGATAAAAAGGGAAGGAGTGACGAGTGAGAGAGAAATGAGAGAGAGAGGCTGAAAGTTTGAGACCAGATGTGAGATGAGTGACGAGTGAGAGAGGGATCTAAGAGTGTTGGAGGCGCAAGGGTGAAGACTTAAAGTGAAACAAAAGTATAGATTTTAAAAAGTGAAGATAAATACTAATCCTAGTTAAATATATTTATATACTCAGGTTAAACCTAATTTTAACAATTGAGTTCAACTCAATTTTAATATTCGGGTTCAACTCGATTTTAATATTCAACAATTCAAGGCCTCAACCCAAGATTTACTCGAATTCAATGTGGGTTAGTTTTTTTGCCCAATTTCAACTTAAATATTAAAAATTTTAACCCAAGTTCTTTTTTTTGGGGTTGGGCTCGGATTAGCCCACCTAAATTGCACCTCTACCTAGGATTGGATAAAACGTAGAACTGCAATTTTGGAGTTAGAAGGGGAATTTTTTTTTTTGAAAATGAAACCAAGTATTACTCTCAGATCATGATTTGAGTTGAGCGTATTCCACTTTTATTGAACAAATCATTGAACTTCGTTCACAATAAAAAGGCACATTTACCACTTGCTTGGCGCTTTGAATATAGATATATGTCATTTTACATGGATTTATTACGATGACGTCTAATGATCAGTATTTATGAAAAAGAAGATATTATTAATGATCTGTGTTTTAATGTATTTGTCTAACGATTTGTGTTATAGTGTACCTGTCTAACGATCTATATTTTACTGTACCTGTTTGACGATGTGTTTATGGAAAAGGAGGTACATGGATGATCTGTGTTTTAGTGTATTTGTTTGACGATTTGTGTTTTAGTGTATCTATTTGACAATCTATATTTTAATGTATCTGTCTGACGATTTATGTTTATGGAGGAGATACATTAATGATATGTATTTTAATATACTTGTTTGACGATCTTTGTTTTAGTGTACATTTTTGACAATTATTGGATATATTTTTTTTAGTACACCTGTCTTACAATTTGTGTTTGTGGAGAACAATGTAAATTATGATGACGTAACTTTTTAGAATAAATATTTAAATTAGGTGATGATATTATCGTTATTTTTTGTAATTATAAAAGACGTTAGTTATATCTATTACTTTGACTTTTTAACAGAGATCTAATTCAAAAGAAAATTAGCGAGTGATTTTTTTTTTTTTTAGAATCTTATTGGGCCTAGAGACCAGCCTTCAAATCGTACTATTTTTAATATTTTTTTTTTTTTTATGTTGGTCTTGCGGTTTTGTGCTAGATTTGAGCTACAATAACTATTTGGGACACTTTTCATTTACAATATGAGAAGTGGTAATTTGATTCTCTTCCGACCATCAGTGAGATTGCTGGTCAGTTGCAGATGTTTTTATTTTTTCATCAACCTGGTGCCCTCTCAATTTCTCTCTCAGTTGGTTCATTCACTTCAAATTCTTCAGCTATATCTCGAACAACCTATACCTTTTGCTTAGGTGCCATACATCTAATGACTAGTTATTCCTCTTTATTTGCATCTTTTGTCTCTTCTTCTTGTATATAAGTGTTTGCAGTTAATGACACTCAAATGTTTTTGGCTAGTGTTGGGTTCCCTATTTCTCACCAAATCTTTAGTTTTATTTTTTATTATATATATATATTATCATTTTATTTTTATATGAAATTAATATATACATAATATATATATAAATAAAATACATTTTAACATAAATAATTAATTTTTATCCACTTTTCGTCCGATTTTAGAGGGATGAATTTTAGTGAGTTAGAAGGAAAATTAATTCATCGACTTTTTCATCATTCCTATTTTCCTTCTTTACTAAACATAATATTTTATTTATTCTTTTAATTTTTTATCTATCTAAATTTTTATTCTTTTATTTTTTCATCGTATCAAACCAAACATAATTCACTAATGTTGTATGATTTCAAATCCAAGTTGTCTGTTCCATAAAAAATTGTCACCGCTATCAAAGACCATCTCAACCTGAGTCATCCGACAAAAGACACCTTTGCCAATTTAAGACGTCTATTTCTTGTCTAGGAGGTGCCTGACCCATGTGTTCGGAATCTAATTTAACTAAGCATGTCAAGTCCCTTACGACATCAAACTTTGAACATGTCTCAATCTCTAGATCCAATACATATATATATATATATATCTATAAAAAGTCGCAATCTCCTGATCCCAAAAAACAAAATCACAATCTACTTTTGTTATTAAGGGTGTTCACTTTATTCTAAGGATAAAAAATATAATTTTTTTATCTTCTTACTCAATATTTTACAAAAGAATTTTTTTTGGCCTATCCTACCTGATCAAATATGGTATTCTTACCCGACTTCTGGCCAAATTAATCGGTTAGAAAATTCAGTAAACACTTTTGTAGTTATTAATTTTTAGATAATTTTAACAATTTAATTAAATAACATGCATTAATTTAATAACACAATAAACCAATAACATTAAAACTTAAAACAATTACAACAATAATTATAATAAAATACAAGAAATTATAAACCTATCATAATTATTATACAAATACAATAATAATTATTTTAAGTTTAAACCATATAGTTAGGAAATTAAGGTTTTTAATTTATATATATATAAATTAATGTGGGTAGGGTAAGGTAGAAATACGTAAATTAATTGCTATTTTGCAATCCTACATGTTTTAATTGAAAGACAAAAAATTCTTCTGTATTTTTACCCGATTTTTTTGATTAACCGTTTAATAGCGTCAAATAAAATAAGAAATTATTATTAATCATAAATTTAAACATCGCTATTGGCTACCCCCACAAAATTAAATACAATTTGTAAGCCACTCATGAAGAGAAAAAGTACTTGATCATTATGATACGCTCAAAAAGATTTTAGTGTCCTAACTTTAAAATTTATTATTTTAAATAGTATTTTTATAATTTTTATGTTTCATTTTATAATCAAAAATTTATTATTTTATAGTTTATTGGTATTTTTATCACATTTTATATAACTGTTTTTACCATTTTTTTATACAAAAAAAAAATTATCACTTTTGTAAGTATTTTTATTACTGTTGTGGATTTTTTATCACTTTTGTGGGGACTATTTGTACTATGTTTTAAGTACCACAACATTGATAAAAATGCTTACAAATATATTAAAAACAATTATAAATATGATAAATGAAGTATAGAACCAAAATAAAATAAAATAAAATATACCGCAATCAATTCCCGAGAAAAAGGAGAAAAATTCTTGTCATGTTTGGCTGGAATATCAGGATGAGATTGGACTGAGTTCGGGTCGGTTAATATCAAATTTGGATTATAATATAGTGTACTGTCTTGATAATTTGATTAGTATTGACCCGATGCTATAGTTTCATCTAACACCAAATATTTATTACAAAACAATACTATAAAACAGGTTTTAAATGAGACATGGGTTGTACTAATATTTTATAATTATCTGATTAGCTTTGATTGGCTAGAAAAGTTATTTAGCATTGCGTAGACATGCGGTAAATGTAGAGTTTTCGTCCAAACATGGATTTTTTATTATTTTTTTTTCCAGTTTAACAGTCAGGATGTTCGACCTAATTTTTGTATATATCGATTAAGAGAATAAATATTTTATGGGTAGTCTATAAACAAATTGTTTACAGGCAACTAATTAAAATTAAGGAACCACACAAATTCATTAGGAATCCTCAACATTAATTTATGTGTTTGTGTAACTCTTCAATTTTAATTAGAAGCCTGTAAACAATTTAATCCCATCTACTAATCCTTGTTAGAAAAAATAATTGCAAACAAGTTTATTTGTATAACTTAATATTTAAAAAAAAGTAGGACACATACTTCAAAATTGGTAGGATC